TGACCTGAAAGCATCGGTCTTCCGTCTATGGCCACGCAAATTCCTACTTCCCCGACAAAAGCGGCCAACTTCGTCACTTCGACGACCAATAATTTCGACCACTTCCTCAGCTCACGAACGAACAGGCTTCTCCGGAGGGAATCTTCATTCACTTTAGCACAGCTTCCAGCATCCCCACTCTGCAGTTAGCCAGCAATCGTGCTTGGACAATTGCGCGATCCGAGTCCACCGAAAGAAAGAAACAGCTAGCTCGCATATGGCCCAACACCTTGTGGCCGCCTTTTTTGTCCCTTTTATGCTTTCCGACGGACCTGCTTTCGTCAGCCATATCTGGCACTGTCAGACCGGCAGAGCTTCCCCGCTGAGTGTCAGAAACGTTCTCGTTCTTAAGTCTTCTTCTAGCGGGCACCGACAGAGTCTTCCTCGACCAAAGTTGAGCAAGCGTGGTCGTGACTTTGAGGAACTCGGATTCTGAATCCGCTGCTTTTGATCCCCGTGCTCTTCCGTTCTAACAAACCAAACTTCGGTCTTGCATGGAAGACGAAGACTGGGAAAATCGCATCAATCGCCGAATCAGAGAGAGGCATCTGTGGAAAAGGGAGCCAGTTGACCAGGAGCTAGAGTTTCTCACCCCGTCGAGGACGCAGGTCTTGCAGGTAACCTCTCGGGTCCGTGGTTACAATCAGAATATTTGGCATAGTTGAGGATCTTAAAATACATTTCAGTGATGGCAACAAGATTACGATGGTTTGGCGTTTTCTCAAAGTATTATTATAATCATTGAGCTGGAGAAGGAACTGATTTACTGAAGCTGTTGGTAATAGGCTTTGCATGCAGAAGAAGATGACAGAATTCTGCTTCGAGTTGGAAAGCTTCGCTGTGCGCTTGCATGTGCGACGGGTGAAACGGATTTTGTAGGACACCCGCCAGCAGTATAAGCTCGTCTCAAGCCGCACTGAAAAGGCGGCAGATCGGCCACTCTGGCATGGCGGACGGACAAAGCTTTCTGTGTTAGTGGCTTTATCTGTATGCTGCCTTCTTGTCGTATACATGGCGAGAGACTCTGTATTGTGATGGCCGCTCGAGCTGTATTTCTGCGTTCACTCTGATTCCTGCTCAGAGACCATTGCAAACTGGAACAACCATCTCGCACGATTCGTGACGTGTTGATCGGAACCGATTGTTTACCTTAAAGCAAGTGGCGAGACAGAGGTTGGATGCTATGTCTGGTAAAATTCCAGTAGAACATGCTCTCACTGACAGACACTTACGACGGTGGTCTCCGACAAAGTCTGTTCTTCTCAGTACATCTGATGCTTCAATCACTTCTTCACAGAACCTTCTGATCGTGGCAATTCCATCTTCAATCTTTCTCTCTTCTTCTCACCACTCGCGTACTGCGGCGGAGAGAGCTTCACAAACAGGTTCACTAAATACAGCAGCTACTTACATTTTATCGTGAGAGGAACTATTCTCGTCGTTCTCACACAGTGTGCGAAAACACCTTCTCCAAATTCAAACTTAAGATTATAAAATGGTTCCTGTAGCGAAAAAATGGACACTCCTGTATTCTCAGTGCTTACCGCAGGACTTGCATTTCTTGCGCTGATTGCCTCCTGTAATCGTCGCAATAGATGAGTTTCAGAGGAGAGTGTGGCAGTTAAGAGTTGACAGGCAGAAACGAGAGAATTATAATTCAAGACCAAGAAGGCTCAATGAGGATCCAGACGTGGTACATGATCATGAAGACTTGAGAAAAATCCATTAGATCCAATGCGGGCAACAGCTTCAGGGATGACTCGCCATAACGCCATGTTGATGGTATAGTCACTCTTGATCTTCCAACGGGAAAAGGACTTAAATAATACGCTTTTGCCAAAGTAACCACGTTCTGAACGTATTTGAAGCAACTGTTTTCGCTTCCTGCAGCCCACTATCAATTGATACGCCATCATGACGAACGAGAACAATATCTTTGGATGAAACTTTAGTGAGTACACTTCACACTTTGGCTTACCTTCTTGGTACTATTGGGACAAAGATTCTCCTTTTCCGGACAATTCACTGCCTTGTTTGTTCTGCCAGCTGCCCACAAGAAGATAGTCAATCTAAGAATCAATTTGTCTTGGCCAGTACGGTAGCCCATTGGAGTATTTTAAAATATCATGGGGCCCGATATCAGGTACAAGAGTACGACTAATTAAGTGTCGTGTACTATGCTAAGTGGGTTCTTGTGATTAGTTTATGGCTTGCACTCACATTGGTCGGGACCAGGTGCGCACGTTTACGAGTAATATCTGGGTAATGATCGAAACAGGGACCTCAACAAGAAATTTGTCGTTACTGCATATTTTTGTCTAGCCCCAGGTTGTCCCGAGCCAATTTTTTGGCTGGCGAAGGCAATTTCTAGACAAGTCGGGGATAGAAAAGATCGGGGCATGTCTCAAAAGGAATAACATTTATTCATGAGACTCGTCCTTTGTATTCTCTTACGTCCTATCATGCGTTTCTCTTAACGAAACCAGAATTATAGAACTTTTAATGTTGGGCTTCAGACTCACATATGAATGAGACATAACAATGCTGTACCATCGAGGCTTGGTTTAGGAAAAGTAAGAGCTCACACCATTGAAACTCCACGTATTACAAAGACTAGCTTTTCAATGTCGTCTATATTCTTTCTGATATCCCTCTTGATGCAGTCTTTTATTATCATTCAGATGTTGGTCAGGTCTTCCATAAGATGGGGAGGAAAAAGAAAGACATAAGCACTTTACGCTTGCTGGGTTTGTTCAGACGCAATGGTTAGGTCCACATGTTGAAATGTAGAGTGAAAGGACAAGAAGCTCCTGCTGGAGCAAGGAGCGAAAGCTTCTAGTACGTTGAAGGTCAGACCAAGTACAGAGACTTGCTGGAGAAGTACTCTCCAAGTTCTACGCAGCCACGAAAGGGAATTTCCAAATCACTATCAGTCTTATGTGAAGTGCTGGGCAGTAAAGGAGGAACTGGCAAACAGTCTTCCACTAGTTTTGGACTTGGTGCCTTCGGTTTCATCCCTGTACTACTCGATGCAATCTGCCCATCGTATGCGCTAATTTACTCATTTAACTTGCAACGAAAGTTTTGGACTTTTAGTCACTGAGGCAAATCGCAACTGAGACTGATTCCTTCGACAAAAAGAGGCACCCTACCCGGTCCTACATGTCCATTTTATTCAATTCTATGTATTGGGTGTCGGCGTACCACGCAAAAGTTTCACGGTTTGCAGCTACATTCCCAGTCTAGACGGCTGGTAATAAGTCCAGAGATAAGCATATCGTACTATTAAAAGGAAAATGAAGAGAAAAAATGTTCTCACCCCTTCTGCAAGACAAGTATCAAAATACGATCATCCAACATGTGATTAGAACCAGCGGTTTTGTCGTGCTATGTTGAGATTTCCTTCGCCATGAAAAGATCAGACACCATACCAATGGTGGCTTGCCTCGACCCGCCGGGAGCCAAAATGGGTAAGATTTTGAGTAATGCCTTTTTTCACATCAGCCAAAAGCTTTTATCGACCTAAGCTTCGTCTCTTACAATCTTTTTCGGGATGAAACGGATCCATGCAGGCCTTATTTAAAGCTCCTTTCCAAGAGGGAGAAGCAGCAGAGCAAACTCCAACCAGCAAATTGAAACGGAGTGTCCATCCTGAAGATTACTAAGATATTAAAATTAATAAGATAAGATTACTCTTCTTTCAAGATATAATCTGAGTTTGGAGTCTTAGTTTGGAAGATACGCTTGACAAAAGGGGGACAAATATCTATTTGAAAGCTAACGATGAAATAACAGAGGACCACTTGCTTGAAAACATTATCTCCCTTTTGAAGGCAGTAGCAACTTTTGCTGCTGTCACCGGATTGATCTAGAATATAAGCAACACACTCGACCAAACTCAACTGATTGTCAAACTATCAACATGTATCATTATCCATTAGAGTAGGCTATACTATTAACCATCGAAAGAAGTCGACACTGGAATTTAAAAAAAATTAGAGTTTGAAAAAAATGGTAGACAACCGGCGTCAAATTTATAACCTACTCTTCTTTCTTCATGGGTGGTATTAAAGCCTTCTAAAACTTTATTATGTAGAGAAATATCTAGCCTCAGTTGGCTAGCACCTGTTCCATCCACCGTCTTGCCTCCCGAAACGAACTCAGAAGATGTGTTTATTTATATTTTGTTAACAATCCCCATGAACGCGAAACCTCTACTGATACACACAAATTTAGGAGCGTAGGCTAGGTGCTATGGTTTATGAATATAGCTGCTATATAGTGTATGAATGTTTGAAATACCTCTAGGTTGTGATGATTTTCTTACACAATTTCAACATATTTTGAAAATGCCAAAAGCTTTAAAGCATGTAGAAGATCTTCATGTAGATCATGGGCTATTTAATGCAACTCTGTTTCACGTCATCTTGCTTTATATGGACCATCATATGATCGTTCCTCCATTCATCATATAAATGTCCCATGTAGTTCATTTTTTTCAGATATTTATTGAAATACGAGGGGATATCATACATACACTAGCATGAGATGCGCTCCATAGTCTGTGAGCAAGTAATGAGTCTGCATCAATAGCATCCAAGGCTGTGACGGATGGTGAGCCATTTATTTGAATCTTTTTATATATATATATATATACAGTACCTTTATAATCAATTCTTATGAAGTTTTTCCACCCATATGCACTCAAATTGCTCAATATCAAGTGTGGATCCTTGTTACAAGAATCCAGTGCACCCTTACACCTTATACCTCTCATGATCAGAAATAGCCACTCATTACGCTATCAAAAATGTGGCATATCCACCAGCCGGAAAGAGTGCACATTCTGTTTGGAAAGAGAGATTCTATGCTCTGACATGAAGACCATTGATACAAGCCCATCTGTCATGATGAGAGGAGAGAGTTTCTACGGCAATTTTGTTTATCGTGAGTCCAACAGTTGATACACCACAAGGATCAAGAGGTAATACATCACAGACTGTTGGATTAACATGGACTTGATTGTAATTCGCCGCATGGCCAGAGGAGGTGCAGAACTTGCGAGGCCCCACTCTCCTCGAAACTGGGGACGGGCAGGATGGGGCACAGAGAAAAGCTCACTGTGAAAGACCCACCTACAGAAACAGAGCACATGCTTTGATTATAGTCCAGGCACGTGTGCTAGAGGTAAGAGTGCTGAAGAATGAGCCGGAGGAAACGATGAGCAGTCCTGGAGAAAAGATCGGAGAAGCTTTTACCGCGAGATCCAGGGACGACTAACCGATATAGGGGCAAAGAACGACAATTCTCGAGATTCTCTGCAGATATAATAATGTGGCTGGGTGCTAGGTCCTGCAGATGAATAGGAGATCTTTGCTGTGCCCGGACCAAGGGATCAGAGAGAGGCACGTGGCCCAAAGTCGGAACAGAGCTTGTCCTCGAACACATAGGACCGATGATGAAGAAACCTGTAAGCCATGAAGAGAAAGTCAAATCGCTGGCTTTCTTCATTGCCAGGGTCCCACGCGTTCAACCTCAGAAGGCGAATTCTCGTCAGCTGCGGGAAATTCAAACTGGAACCGAGGGAAGTCGTAGTGCCATGAGTTCGATGAGTAGGATGACGACTATAATGAAGAATCTAAGACACTGAGAACCGGGTATCGATGTTTTAATAATAAAGCTTTCCAGAGAGGAGAGTACGCTTTGGGAAAGATGGAGACTCCTCCAAGTCCATGGATTCGGAGACCGGCACGCATGACGACAGTGTGCAGTGCACGCTACGTGCCCCAGACGACGGCAACGCTCCACGTTCAGACAGACTTTCGAGACTGCAAACTTGGGCACGCAAGGAGGACCCCTGTCCGACTCTTTCTTTCAGGTCCAGCAGCTTTGAGTGTTAAAATCGAAGGAATACATACTTTTCAGCGCCGGGCATCAGTCAGAGCAGTGACTGCGGCATTCGGCCGGGCATTCCAGCGACAGAATTGGAATGCCCAGCGGAACTCCAAAGAATGAATCGTCCTGCCTAAACTACATACATACAGTCTCGAACTCTCTACGGTACTGCCGGTCATCCGGTCATCCGGTCCGTCGGTAAGCCGGTCGGTCTCGCGACCAATTTCCAACCGATCCAAATTTTATCTCGAGTCCGGGTCCGGAGCCGGATGTAACCCTGAGGAGTGCTTTTTGACCCACCCGATTCGAGATGTTGCGATTTTACTCTAAGTCTCTACTTAACTCTAGGGTCGCGTCTGGTTGGGTTAGGTTAGAATGGGTTGGGTTGGGTTAGGCTCGTTCTTCATTAAGAATCAGTCTACTGTCTGGTGCTTTCTATTCATTCATGTAATCGAGTGCCATCGAATCGGCGAGATGAGGCGAGGCCGTGCCATCCACGCGAAGAATTGCATGTGTTGTCTATCTAGCTTCTGCTTTCGTTGGGTCCAGACTCGAGAAAGAGCCGGATCTGATTGTGAGGGGGAGTCTTCCATGGAGAAAGTCGGCTGCTCATCATGAGTCGTCGATAAGGACGGTCGGTAATTTTGGGTTCATCTAGCTCGTTCGCTCTCCGAGGAGTGTGGGTGGCCGGCCCGGCGTCGTTCTGAGCGTGTGTGCATGTTGGTTGATGACGGACGGCCTGGCCTGGTGATACATTTAATAGACAGATTGACAGATCGATCGATAGGATGGATGGATGCTAGATCGTGATCCCGCCCACGAGCCGCACGCATCGCCCCCCGAGATCGATTCTCTTCTCGCAGGCCTCGAAGTCCAGCCATCCGTCCGGGGCCTCGTCCTCGACCGTCTCGGGCGGCGCAAAAGGACTCCCCCTGCACGCGGGGCCTGCTGTGTGCTTGTCCGAGTACAGACTCGCCACCACGGCCGCGGTGTGCTCCTCCTCTGACAGTGGCCCTCTCCCCGACCCACTGTAATTCGCCCGCAGCTGCTCCTCCAAATCCGAGCGACGCCTGCAATCATGGTTCATGCCAGGGGATTAATCACACGTGACGATCTGATCGAGCCTGCAAGTAAAGCTCCACTACTCTATTCTGATCGAACTCAGGATTTGGAGCTTGGAATGCTGTAATATTAGTGATGAACGAGATTCAGGCGATGGTGGACTTCTAGAGGGTAAGGCAAGACAGTGGAAGAATAAATGGCAGCCAATAGTTTTGGGGAATAATTGTCGTAGAGAATGAATACGAACGTACCTGGCGCTTCTCCGTGCTTCGAAGACGGCAAGACTCCAAGAGGATTGGCCGCTTCCGAGGAACACAAGAGAGCGGCCGCAGATTTCCTGCTCCACTAGTGCAATCATGTGGTTGCTCACTTTGGTCTGGCCCTTGTCGAGGCCGAACAAAGCCGGCATCACATTCGGAAACACGAAGCTTCCGTCCTCGAAATTGGGCAGCCCCTGTATCTCCCACAGTCCTGCCACCGTCATCCCTCTCGCCCGAAGATCTTCCACCACCTGCAAATCCCACTCCATCAGATACTCGTACTCAGAACAAAACGACGGATTGCTGAATCTGGCTCGACGACTGTCGAGCAACATTGCTCTATGGAATCCAGAGAGTGCGAGCATTCGAGCCACCTCGTTAGCTCGATGGAGCTGGAAACTCACCCATCGGACGTTCTCAATGCTGACGGTTCCTCGAAGCCAGCCATCGGTCGACAGGTAAACGTGTTGCACATTCTGCTCGACAGCTTTATCGAAAATCGCTGCCGAGACGTCTTCTTTCGTCAAACCAGCTCCGTGGAATGCGCTTCCAGCCCGAAGGTTCTCCATCACCGTCGGCAATTCCATGAACCTGGGAGACTTGAGACCTCCTCCGATAACAGCACCGTCGTTACATCTCGTGAAGCAAAGTCCGAGCGGATGCCCATTGCAATTCGACTCCTCGAACCTCCAGTGGACTGCAGCATGGACAAAAATCCACGGCCATCAATACGGCCACAACTCTCAGCTAGTGTAACGGATTATCGTGACAAGAATTCCCAAGCGCAGCTCGAGCTTTCCAAGCAATTCTGCCCAAATTCTGCGTTACCCTCTCGAGCCATCCTCGACTGCAGCAGCAAGTCGCAATCATAATGCCACGTCATCAAGTGCGCTGGCAGTGTTCGAACCCAATGCTGACTTGTCTACGAGCAGATCGATATTGTCGAGGGTCAGCTAAGCCACCTCGGCTGGACCACCGAGCCACGTCAGAAGTCGACACGGGGGCCGTCCGAGATGGATGAGTGAGGTGTCGGTCGATACCTGAAATGTATGAATTGTTGCCCAGCACTTTGGCCTGAAATACGTCCGACACGCCGACGATGGTCTTCGAGTGCCGCATGTACGCGGCGGCCGCCCACATTGCGCCCCTCCACCGCAACCCCGGAAACGCGCCTCCCAATCCCACGCACTTCGCCTCGGGCTCGTCGTTCCGCGGCCCGATGCTGCGAGCGATCTCCCCCGGCGACGTCCATTTCGTGAAGCTCCGATCGAAGAACGCCATCGCCTGCACGTGGAATTGCAATAAGAATTCGTCCGCATGAATTTTCCGGCCCCCGGACGCAATCGTAATTTGACGTACCGAAGCATCGTATCAGATTTGTTCAACGATCCGAGGATTGGATTTGGATTCGTGCCACAATCGGGCACCTGAATTTTATGGCCCGGCGTGCATCATAAGAGAGGGAATTCAGGAGCGAGTAATTCGACAGGATTGGGAGGAGACGTACCTCGGGGATTCTGGGAAACCAGTATTGCCAGGCTGACGACCTGCTCGTCCTCAACTTCCAAACTCTGTCCAAGGTCCCGTTGCATTCTTTTATACACACGTCGATGCTCTCAATTTTCACGAATTTTAATAGCTCTTGCAAGTCATATCTGTCCTCGAGGTGCAGTCCGTAGTGGTTGCTCCCCAAATAGCCTGCAATCACTCGCGAATATGAATTTACACTCCAGTCGCGCTGATGCAATGCAATTCAGTGCAGGGCGATTTGACCTCGATAGCGGTAATACGAGGAAATTTTCCTTGCTCTAGAATTGACTACGAGGCTGGAATATTCTCCTACTCGCTGAAGTTTGAGATGAATTCTCGAGCATTGTCCACTGAAGGCGAAGGGTAGATTGTTTACTTACCAAAGTGCCTCTGAGGGCCACCGAAGAAGGGAATCAAACACAATGTGCGATTGAGGGTCCTCGCAACGACTGCTGCGGACTTGTATTCCATGAGCTGGTTTCCTGTTCCCACGAAGCTGCTCAGCAGTGGGACAATATACCTCTTTCCCTGTCAGATCAGCCACCACAAAGTTCGGTTCAGAAGGTATCGCCGGTCGATAATTGTTAATTGAACTTGAATTTCTTAGGCTCAAGGAACAAATTCACTCAGTTCGGGAATTTGTACCTCTAGTTCTGATGATGACGACGGAGAAGGAGCTGGAGTCGGAGATGGAGTCGGAGTTGGAGTTGGGGACTGAATTGAAGCCTCGTAAAAAGCATCAGCTTGACCTGCAGGGACTGCAGAGAGGTCGGTGAAGGGGCTTTCCTCGACATCGGTCGTCGGGGGCTGCGGAGGGTCACTGTAGGGTGAAGGTCCGTAGCTGTAATTGCTGCTTCCGGGACGCCGAGCTGCAATCGGAGTGATAGGCTCCTGATCCAGCCCAGAGAAATCAGAGTCTTCCGTAGTATTGTCGAATTCTTCGTTCAGGAACGGAGCTTCTGCCTGCAGAAGCGCAGATTTGTTCAATCCTTGCGCTGGACCGGTGTCGGTGTTATTAAAACTGTCAGAGTCTGCTGGACTCTGATCCTGTCCGAGGATTTCAGAATTTTCCCTACCTCCGTCGACCTCTCCGATCAAAGTTGGATCTTCAGCCTCCAGAAGCGCAGTTTCGTTAGATTCTTGTCTTGGACCTGATGTACCATTGATAGAAACAGACTTCTGCGGCGGCGCATTGTCTGCCTTGTGAGCTTCCAGCTGAACAGGGGTACTCAAGAAGGCCTCCAGCTGTGAAGGGGTCAGTCGAGGTGGAGGAAGAGCGGACGGCGCCGTGAACCAGATTCCCACGAGCAGCAAGAAGCTGATCAAAATCGCCAATGGCATCTTCACAGCGAAAGGAAACATCGAGGGAGTGTCCCGACCCGACTCACCAGCCGTCATGGTCAGTCGAGCCCTCCAAAACGCACACACACGCACACACACAAGCTCTTCACTATGATACAGCTACGCTATGCAAAACCACTACGGTATACACTCACCAATTTCTCTCACAAGCTAATAACAAACAAACAATGTCGATCCTCCGTCCCCTAGTTCGCAGAAGCGGAAGCTCGAGGAAAAAGCTCTGGAAATTTCTCGTCCTAGGTTCGGTCGGCTGATTAAATCCACGTCTCTCTAACTCACTGTCTTCTGCTTGCTCTCACTGTCTCGTGCCTCAATTCATGTGCCCTTTCCCAGGAACTTGTTCATGTCAGTCGGCGTCTCAGGTCGACACAGCATCACGAGCTGGTACCACCGACATCGTCCGTCCGCGTGCTGGTGGTTAATCTCATCTTCATAATCCTCATGCCGCCTCGCCTCGGGTTCAAAGACCCCGACACCCTCAGCAGATTCGGAACTCTCGTCTCACCAGACCTTCGCGTCGATAATTGGATCTCTCTTTCTCAGTCCTCTACACATATTTTCTCTTCCCGGGAAACCTATTCAGAATTTCCCTTCACGAGGCTGCGCACTGAACGAGCAGTGACTGCATCGAGTCGGCGCAGGCTGCGAGAGGTCATGGGACAAACATGAGAAGCTATGTACGGTATAAAAATGAAAATATCTCCCGAGTTCGAGCGAACCGAAGCAGTAGAGCTCGCCTCGAGCATCAAGCCAGGTTCAGCGCCCGCTCTAACTAACACTAACTTTCGGAAGTTAGCGCCAAAGCTCTCTGTCTATGGGCTGTATACTCCCACAGACCGGACCTTCGAACAATCAGTCGTCTGATCTCACGAATGATGCTGTGATCTGACCTTTCGGAGCCCGTAATAGCTCACGCACGCGCGTCCTGCGTGACAAGCTTTAGAGATTTATAATTTTTTTGATTTGCACCAGCCACGCACGCGCTCTGGGCAGGCACGCAGGCAAGAAGGCTGCTGTTGCTGCTGCTGCTGCGATGGGAAGCTCACCAACGACGCTCGGCAGTGGCGATTTTGCATGTGCTGCGCTTTTCTTCAGCACAGTTGCGGCGCCCGTAAACGATCCTGATACTGCTCTGGAATAGGACGCAGCGACTGCGAGAGCCCGAGTCCGGACTCGTCTCGATCCGGAGGGAAGTGAAACTCAGCCGACTCGTCGAGGCGGGCATCCGATTCTTCGAGCGATTAGGACTAAAGAATGAGCGATGGCGACCGAGTCCCAGCGCAGGACTGGACTGGGAAGGACCGCAGCTCGGGGAACTGAAGAGCTCCCGTCACGATCGCGCATCTTTGTACCGAAACCGACGCGCTGGCTCGGAAGGCCGAGCGACTCCCGAGGTCCATGTCCATGGCCGCCACAGCTCCCCTGCACCACTCCATGACCCCGCCCCAGATTCCCAACCGCGACCAGGCCGGCCCGCCGGGGGCGACCCCGACCACCAAGAACGCACCCGCATCCACCCCTGCCCGACTCAGTCGCAGTCGCAGTCGCAGTTCCTCCTCTTCTCCTCTCTTCTCTTTCTCTTTCCTCTTCTCTTTCTCTTTCTTCTCTTTTCCTCTTCTACGTCCCGACGCCGTTCAATAACTCAGTGGCCGACCGTACTACGGTCGACTTGGGACGACCGCGGTACAGACGTCGCTCTATGTGGGACTCCGGGATCAAGATGGAGATACGATGCCTCGAATGGTACTGCTCCACTCGAGCAGGACCATTCCCTCCCACCTGGTGCTCCTCCATTGGAGATGAATGTCAATGATATGTTTATTAAAGTGCTCGCTCCTCCTGCTTCTGTAAAGCGCACACGTCTCGATCGACGAGTGAAGGACATAATCATTCGCTCCGGGTCCCAGGGCTTGTCCCGGGCCACTCTGTTGCTGATTCTGTCCTTCGGTAGGGCCGAGAGAGAGAGAGAGAGAAAGAACTAGTCTTGGGACCGGACCGCACGAGACGTCGGACATTAGAGAGTCCTTTTTCCTTCCGGCCGGAAGTTCTCGAGCTCCTGTGGCCGTGGGAGCGTGCGACCCGGTAGCACGGTGGGACCGCCTCGTCGTCCCGGCGACATGTAGGACGCGACGGGCCGTTCTTCGGGGCAGCGACGGTGGGGCCTCCGGCTCCTGGTGCTGGTGCCGGTGCCGGTGCCGGTGAGATGGTGTCTGAAGCTCTGGAACGGGACGCGAAGTTGCCGGCATGTCGAGATTGAAGCTAGGAACGTCCCGGGGAGGACGATCCCGAGCCCCGAGAGGGTGAGATCTGGGCCCCGTACGACTCCTCTTGCCGGCATCCGTGGGCCGAATTGAATTGAATTGAATTGAATATGTGCCGGCCCTTGCATTTGCTGAATGTCCCCATTCGCAGGGAGAGTGGGGGAAGTGGAAGAGAGTGGAAGAGAGTGGAAGATACTGATTCACACCGACATGAGCATCCGAAGTGAGTGGGACTTGTATCGGCACGAAGGTTCACCTTCATCCAATAATCAATCAGTCATGAAGCCGAGCACAATTTTCTTCTCAGAATGTCAATCCGTACTATATTAAATCTCGAGGATGGTCCTCGATTCTACCCTCGAGCTCGGCCCATGAGCCGCCTGTCTAGTTTGAGTGATTATCTGTTACAGCAACCATCTGAGTCGCTTCAATCTCCTAATTTCGACAGTTTATTAGTACTTCTGAGTGTTTCTGGGCCCCTGGCCTACCACCGGATCACATATCGCCTGTAAGACGAGCCGATTTTTTGTCCTCTCTCCTCGCTGTCTCTACTCACCGATTCCGATGGTCCTTCGCGATGCAGGGCTTTCACTTTCCGCATCTGAGCTGAACTGCGTGCTGAGCAGTGACTGGACTTTGATTTGCAGCGCATATTTCAGCATCCCATTCCAGAATCTGAAGAAGAGCATTTTCGAGGAAAGGGGCGATGAGTGTGGCATGTTTTGGGAGTTCGTCTCCGATTTTCTTCTATCGGTTTTGCCAAAAAGGTGTAAGATCCGGAATCAAGTTGAATCTCGTAACAGTAAACACTGACACACGCATTCACACAGAATCAGGTTCGAGCCAGAACCAAAACCTCACTCCAGGTGCTGTCTCCCGCTGAGGGTCCTCCAATGAGGAGAACCCGGAAGCCTTCATGCAAGGAGACAAGGTTCTCCTTGGCCCTCCCTCGTGCGAGAGAAGCTACAAGAACCATACTTCGAGCCACGAGAGTCGGCAGGCACCTGCGGCCCGGCTGCAGGCAGCTGTCCCCAGGCGCTGCGCTCCGTGGCTGATCCGTGGGTTGAACTCGTTGTGCGTACCGCACCGTACACATTTCAGAGCTTATCCCGACACCGACATCCATGAACATGCCTCTCTGGGGCAGGAGGCGCAGGAGCATGAGGCTCAAGCTCCGGTTTTTTATCGACTGTCACAGTTGCCACACTGAACGAGTGTCTGAACCCTCGGAACAATGGAGGCATGCATCACGAGATTAGGCTGCCCCACCACCTGATAGCGGAATTCAGATGTCCAAATTCGAGAGCCCAACACATGTGGGAAGTCACGACATTCCGAAAACACTACCGGCTCGAATTGTGCTTGACGTCATAAATCAAATAGCAGATCCTCATGATCAGGCCAACCTTCGACATGGTGTGAGGTCCAGAGCGATTAAAGTGGCAAGTGCTGCCAGGTTGGGGCCATTCACGTGCTGCAGACTTGTCTTCATGTTGCCGGTGCCCGTTTGGACACTTCGTCAGGACATGACAGCCTAAGTTCTATTTGCAGTCCTCTGACTCGGGTTTTTACACTGATTGCAGCGAGTTCAAGACCTTACGCTCATCTAAATTCCAATAAGCTCATACTCTCAGACTTCGATCCGTAGACCATAAAAGCAGTGACTGAGATCAGACGAGAGACTGAAGCACTGAATCTGCGTCATCGAATCCATGGAGAACTGGTGACCAGAATGTACGAAGGCTCTGGAATGAATTTGATGTGATCCATCATTGTAGAAGAATTAGCCTCGTTGAGAGCTTCTCACCTTCAGACTCTTGCATTCAGCAAATGCAGCCTGCATCTGTACCGGTAGTAATTCTCTGAATATTGCATGCACCGGCATGTCTTCGAGCCTATATCAGCGCTCGTCGGGACTGGTCACAAAAACTATTCATGTCCACGATGACTGATTGAAGTTGCACTCCAGGTCCGGAAGTGCCCTGCAACTCCGCTGACGATGTGCTCCGAACATGCGTCGTAAGGCTCCGTGATTGTATCCTACTGGACTTCTGTCGCAAGGAGTAGACAAGAAACATGGCTATAGGAAATGCGTACGACCAGTCTTGACCTGACCTTAGAAAAGTAAGCGGGAATGAAAGAATGCCAAATTGAACGAACGTCATGTTTCATGATCGTCTTGGATCATGAGACATTCGGGATAAGATTAGCTGCGACTCGTGTTCCTGATCTGCGTAAGATGTGATACAGACACCAAAGTGTTTGGTACACGGATCAGCGGGATGCAGTCAATCTATCAGTCCCTGCTATGGAAACCCAAAAGGAACAAGAGTCGGACGGCATTGAATATAACTTTCCATGTAGGCTGAAGAAATCAAAGCCCCAGTAAACCTTCTAACTGAAGATGCTAGAAAGCGTCCGCATTGCATGTCTCTGCTTCGTGAATCACGAGCCCAACAACTAAATAAAATTATGCCCTGGCTTGATCCAAATCTACCCTTTTTGAGAAATTTCTTCTGCATAGACTGGATCTTTGTCAACCACGTGATCCAGTAACTGACGTGTCTATGCATTAGAGAGGTCATCGGTGTCATTTAGCTCTGAAGTGCGTCACTAGAGAGACCGGATGATGTTACTATGATCGAATTAGATACTGTAGATGAAGGTAATGGAACCCACGTTACTTACCTTCATGCCTGTTCTCATAATCCCATGTTCTACTCGGACCTTCAGATATATCCTCCAAGCATTACACTGTCATCCGACCGAATGGTTGAAGAATTTCACGAGATGTTGGAGAGTTCTGAATGGTTCCTAAGACGCACTCAATATGCAGTCGACATAAAAATGTCGGACTAGCCTCAGGTGGCTCGTGTCCTGGCTTGGACCCAGCGTCAACGCCACAATCGTTACTTGATCATGGAGACGATAATGCCTGGCATCAATCTACACCTTTCATCTCTCGTTTGTTCCCGTATCACAATAACAGAAGCATTAATGTTTTCCCGAGAAATTGCAATTTCCCGATGTAACTAGCAACATCAGAGAATTCCAATTAAATTTCGTTAATATATGAATTTGGTTGTGTAATCTGTTTTGAGCGGCATGCATGCAGTTGATTAACGTGTCGGACTGCTAAAGCCTTGACGACTGTCTAAGAGAATGCCGTCACCTGACCGAACGACGTGCTCTCGACTGTGCATTAGTTGGATTATGATTAGCTAAAATAATATGCTTAGCCGACGTCCTTTCACTGTACGAGGAGGCAGTTACATATTTCAATGCATCAACCTTTTGCTCCAGTCGAGTAGACTTTTCTAGAGCTGATCGTGCGTACTCATCGAGCAGGAGTATAGTGGAGGTCTGAGGAAGGAGTTGGGAGTGCAACAATGGCCCAAATTCTGTGGGTCTTCTCCCGAAACACGACCGTGTCCCCATGTGCTTCTAAACTTCGAACACCCTTCCGAAAATCATGATCCCCGAACACACAATCATTTGACGTGAAATAGTATCCGCGATCCAAGGGTCCTCCTGAACCCGAGTGCTCAACACTCAGAAGCCAAGAAGGCACTGGCATCATTCAGTAATTCATCATATCCCAAAGTTTCGATTGAAAGTGTTAACGGTAGCACTATCTGCTCTACCCTCTCATTCGAGCATGAAGCTTTCAAATTGGTTACTTCCCAAAGTGGGCTTAGGCTGCCACACTCATCATCCATTCTGTGGCTTCTCAAGGCTGTTCGTTCCATGTGCTATGGCTGGCTGGCTAGCTATGCTTGGTGTTTGGGCTTTGTTGCGACTTATTGTGATTTCAATCCATGGATGGGGGATGATAGATTCTTTCATCTGAACAACTTTCGTTCGGATGATTGAGATACACCTCATCTTTATTTTGCAATTTCTTGCACCTGTGCTGTACATTTTGGGATGCGTTCGGTTCATACTGGCTCGTGTTTCGCATCGAGGGAGAATAGCTGGCTAACTGCAAAGCTTTCTTTCCTCTCTCTCTCTCTCAACCTCCTTCTCTTTACTCAGGGGCAAAATGAACGAATGGTAGAAAACTTTCACACCAAATGCAAAATGCACAGTCCGCGCGACCTCGGCTTTCTTCTTCACACTGACGACCTTCCCCTGAGGCCATGTCCATCGGTCAATGACTTCTGCGTCCTTCTAAACAACTTGAGTTTCCTGCGTGATGACCGAATTTTAGCAACTTGCACACGGCAAGAGTCCACATCACTATTTCAAGTCATTATGTCTTCATCAAACACAATAAGATGAGTCGATAGTTTCGTAAACACGTGAGCAATAATATTCGAGGGGACCCCAATCGGACCTCTTCCGGTCATACATAGAGATGAATTTGTTGGTCATCCATCAGACTGCTGGGAACAATGAAAATCGTTTGGCATGCTGCAGTGGCTCATGTTTTGGAAGGACTGCTGACGATCCAGCGCTAGGTTCCAAATGAGAAGACAGTCGATGATAGGGAACAACCAATTGCATGTCGTTATAATTTATTTCCTTTACGTTCGCTTACAACATTCCCTTCGTTCTCCTTGGAGGGCCTCGTACTCTTGCACTTGTGCCCCCGTCGAGGGCAACGAGGTGATGCATATCTGCAGATAACTTGAAAGGAACTCACCTACAGCACTCGGGACGACTGATGGAGTGCTTTTCCTGCAGGCAGGAAGTGATCAAAATGTGTGCAGGAAAGTAGAAATCGACATTTTTGCGCTGAACACGGTGACACATAATTTGGTGGACCACGATGGAGGAATCTGGCCCCTTGTACTACGGTAGAAAATACGTGGTTGAGCTTTAAACTACGTAGGAATCTCTGAGACGAATCTAGGATTCCAAGCCTCCAGAAGCCCGACGTAGTTCGGAGCGCGTTGTGATTCGTCGGTTTCCGTGCCGTGGTTGGCGGCGACGCTCAACGGCCGATGCAGAACCGTTGTGCCGTAAAGGTTTTGAAGACCGTCGGCGTGGACGGTCATTCGTCACCCATGCATCGAGAAGATACGACGCGACGTCTTTCGTCGTGCCGTGAACTTTGTGTATGTCCAATTGTGAGCACCCTCACGTCCCGTCACGTCACGTCCTCCACGTCCGAATCCAGAATACGCAGAGGGGTGCTGGAATTATTGACCTTTCCGTCGTTTCCCTCACGTCGCGTACTTCACGTCCGTGGCCTCTTTCGCCATTGTCCCTTGAGTTGAATTGGTTTCAGCCTCTGCCTTGAGTTCTTGCATGGACCTTTGCCTTCAAGGTTTCTCCCAAGTAATGCCTTACCTCAGAGTTTCGAGACTGATCATTCAGAAAAGTTTCTCGTGATGGAAACCAAATTCTACGCTGTATTTTTTAATGCCTCTTGTTGCTCTATAACCAAACTCGGATCTTCTCGGAACAGACTTTATAGGCTTTACTAAGTTACTGGTTGATCTCAACTCAAGTATGGGACCCAACCCAAACATGCGGGTGAAACTTACCGACTCTCATCGTTCATTGGCACCGGCAAACCAGTGAACTTTGACCTTCGCATCCATCGCTCAATAACTTCCTTAGGGCAACTCTACAAACTTTTGGCAGATAAATTCAGCTTCCGACATCACATATATTTGAAGAACAGGTATCGTGATTTGCCCTGAATCCTTCGTTGTTGTTGGATTTTCGACATTACCCAAAGCATTTTGACGTTGACTGTCTACGACTGTGCCTCTAGCGAGGAAACACTCGAGTGTAGCATCATGACAGCCCGATAAATAACACCATGAAGGCGTAAATTGTTGTCGCTTCTTCCCTAGTGACTCCTCTATCGCCAACGCGAAACAACCAGACTTGATTTGAGAGTTGAATTCAATCTAAACAATTGCACTTCAATAATATAATTTTTGAGAACGGAGTTGACATCAATTTTGTTCTCCATTTAATGGCCGACAATTTCATCAACCACTTAAATTGGACATATCACACAACTCACACTGCTAATTCTCACTTTAGCGTCCAAGAAAATGTTTTATAGCGATTATAAGAGCAACTGACTCTTCCAAAAGTGTGTATGCGTTGATATAAAAGACCTAGAGAAAAATTTACTGTATCGTTAAACTCTGATCCACTACATACTCATTGAATTAGAGACCACCAACAGCCAGAAGACTCTCTGGTGTACTCTATTTGGTCGACCGACAGCAACCATACCACTCAACGTTACATGAAACTATCAAAACTGGACTGATTCTAACTCGCTGAGAAAAAAAAGTGGGTAATGTACACTCCTACAGATGGAAACCAGACATATATACATCTAATAAAACTAACTTAAAGCGATTCAAGTCAATGAAGCTTGAGATTTCATCCCAAAATGTACGTCATGGACCTTGAAACGCAACAACCTCCATAGTTGTCTTGGCCATTGTATTAAGCTCAGTCTGAATAACCTATGTGGCTGCGGGTACACAATAAAGGCCTTGAAAAAGCTCAGCACGTTGCATCCCCTTCGTATGCCCTTTGCTTCAGCAGCAGCGTTCAGCTTCCTTTCTCTCCTCCATCATGGTCTTGATCATTGTCTCCCTCGTAAAACTCTTCGTCCTTTTGTATGTGCTTATCTTGTAAATGTTCTGCTCCCCATAATACAGGAAGGAGAACTTGTGAGCCAAGGCCATAGGTATATGAACATACTTCAATAAAGAGACTCTCGCCCGTCGATAATGACATACAAGACAATTTTAGCTTTGGTTACATAAAGTGTCACACTCGCAACCATTAACTTAACGAGAAGATAACAGGTTGTGACTGAGTACTTACGGTCCATGCGAACATCCGGATTTATATCGTCCTCGTCATACTCCGGCAGATAATTGTCGGGAGGAACCTATTGAGGGGCGAGAATCGTCAGCGTTAAAAACCTCAAAACAAGCATAAGATCCAAAGAGACAAAACGGAATAAGTTTACAAGAAAGAAACGGCACCTCGTGCATTTGTACCCCTGGTGCATGTTGGATGTTGCGAAGGTTCTCTAACACCTGCATTTTTATAGTGCTAAGATAGGTCTTTCCATTAAGATTTTCCTGCAAAAATAGATACCAGAGGGAAGTTAAGTGCAACAGAGGGCTTGCAAGGATATTAACTTGATAACAATATCCATAAACTAATGATTTCTGGAGTCTAATGATAAAAGGTTAATTAGTGACTCTTTTTCTCCAAATTTAAACATTGCGCGATGCGTCATAGTTCTAACCATTACTAGACCAAATCTGCTCCCAGTAACAATGGTAGTGGATTTAGCAACGAACCACATTTATTCCGGAATTTACTCTCAATGAGCAATCAGGCTTGAAGTATTTCAAGTAATCGTTATCTGGTATTTCTGCGAGACATTTATTCCACAAACAACACCAAAGTTTAGACCAATAAATTTGAATTTGCAGACTCGCTATTGTAAATAGCGAATCTGCTCAGACAGCTGATGTGATTCTGCAAAATCGAATCGGCCTTTAATTTGCAGTTTCTACAATTTTGAAAATATCAAAATAAAATTACCCTCATACTAGAAGGCAGAGCGGAATCATTGATCCCTATTGAGGTTAGCAATAAATAATGCTGAAGTGTCAAAGTCTCAATGTTCAAGAAAGCAACGCCAACTTTGAAGGGCTACTTCAATGTTCAAGAAGTGAATAGATTATTCACGCAGAATAATATTGAAATAAAAACAGAAGCACCACGAGGTACAACTCAGGAGAGAGCAGCAACAACCACCAAACAAAAAAACATCGCCTAAGAAGAAAACTATACCATTGGGAAGATCGGTATCTACTAGAACCCCCGTCTCTACAGTCCAACATCGAGCAACGTTCTCTTTGGTGTAACCACCTCCTCCAGTGACCTGCAAATATCACATGCCATCAATCAAATCGGCTACCAGAAATAAAAATGTTCTTAGACAAAACGAGAACCACCACATTGGCACCTCTCTTCTCGTAGATGATAACTACGGATACAGTATATCTCAGTGAAGAGACTAGTAATCTGTGCAGGAACAGTTCTGAGCTAAGATCTACCCACTATCGAGAGGGCAACTTCACTATCACTGCACTCTATTAAGCATTTAAAACTACCCAGCAAAGTCCCCCAAAGACCTGAGTACTGAGAAGCATTTTCAGGCGATACAAGTCACAAGTCAATGGTGGGTGCTGAGCGTTTGTAAAACCAAATACAACACGTACCAAGAGAGGAAGACCAAGCTTCTTCACGTATCGTACACACTCAGAATGACCTGGTACACAATGTTCTGTAAGAAACCTCTCAAGTGAGAACATCCTGCTACTTGCTGACATCTACTTTGAGTTCGTTTCTCGCATCCTTGAGTGCTGATGACATGAAACGAACCGCATCATGTACACAAATACTGTGCAATAAACTACATCCTCATCAATAGAACTTATGAAACAAAATTACAGCTACTAATCATAGATTCAAAAAATCAAATGCATTCACTCTCAAATTTTGTAGAAGTACATCTACACATAACAACGGAAATTAGAGAGCAGGAGATCAACCGTATAGGTTTTGCGCCTGATTACTGTCGCAGAGAACGAACATTTCAGGCTTGAAGTATATACAATGAGCAGGAGGACAGCCAAGGCATAGAGATGTAAATAACAATGAACTATAATTCCAAGATAGTATTTCAAATCTTCTAAAGCAAGAGCTCTGTGTAACTTTCTACAACATATTCTGGTATCCCCTTCGGACGCAGGGACAACATCAAACTACGCACTGTCAGCAAAAAAATCTATGCCTGCAACTGCACTGACCGCACCTCGAACAACCATAACGCACATAACAATATAGAAAAAGAGTTTAATGGAACACCATCTATCGAAAGATTGAAACAGCCGAGGCGATCTCCTGCAAGCGAGTCGGCACCACATTGAAGAACAATTGCACCCGGCTGGTAGAATTCGACAACCTTAGAAATGATCTGCAATCAGTGTACTACAAGATGTCATGCAATCTACACAGATAAGTGTGAATATTGTCAAAGCAGCCACGTTTAAAAGTTTGCTTCCATAAATACGACATAGAGCCGAACCCAACGACTGACCGTTTTGAATAGCCGTGTGAAGCTTGCATCATCGATACCGTCTTTGAGGGGAACATTAATCGCATAGTATTTTCCATCCTTGTCACCAATATCCTTCAAAAAATAACAAAGCAGAGTTAAGCACATTTGGAGCCAAAATAATAAAAAAAATTTGCATACTCCCTTCTGAAAAGAATAGAAACTGGGTATCTTCTACCCTGTATGTCTAAGTAGTGAAGATGAAACTGGAGAATGATATTGCATGAGTAGTATATGATTTCACGATATGCTTTGTTGAGGTACAAACTGAAGAATCTCTCACCTTCATATCCCCAGTTCCTGGGAAAAAATTATCCCCAAATTTGTGGAAACTCACAGTCATAACTCTGTACGCAACCAGGAGTGGACGAAATCAGTTCTTTTGAGCGTCTAAGATACATCCTTCAGATGCTTGAATTGGATAGTAATCCATCACATTAATCGGTGTCTCCACGACTACCTTATAACGACTACATTGAAAAATGACGAGAAATCATGAAGCCAACGTAGAGAAAACAAAGTACCCAATCATGGTAAAAATCGAGGAGAACCTCGAGTAGACCTTTACATCATTTAGATCGGAAGTCATGATCACAAATTGTGGCTTAGAGCTTTTGCAATAACTGTTCATCCGACAACTTATCTTTAAACAGCAGATGGCCAAACGCAAGGAAAACAACCAAACCGGAACTTCTATGGAGGAAGAACAAGAGAAGCTGATGGCATATCCTAAAATCACGTAACCAGAAAAACACGATCTGACAGAAGCGCACCATCATGAACTTTCTTTCCAAGCAACTATTCTTACAGACCTGTTTTATGTATGTTCATATCACGACTGCACACCAAGTATACATATAGTAGATACTCACGCACTATTTATTGCACAAGGTCAATGTAAGTATATTTGAAGACCCACTGCGCCAGCTAACTCTTTGAAACTTTGTCGAAATTGATTTCGACAAGCTGTTTAAAAAAGGACAAGCTTACGCTAGAATGAACTGATGATCGATGAATTCATCCTTCTTCAAGTCAGTGTCATATGAGGCTTGCGCAAATTGATGGAAGGGTGGAGTTTCTCACAGAGAGTTCAAAAGACGACTTTGAGGGTTGACACTTTGTGCAAAAGCGAAACACAAAGTCTCAACTGAAAACATCACAAAAGAGACCAATAAGTAATGCATGTATTATATGCGGAGAATTCTCTTTAAGCTTCTCATAAGAGAGTTGTTTGATGAGTAACCTTCTGCTAGCATGACTTTAGCTGCATAACTAGCAGGTTTAAAAAGAACATTACAAAGAGCAAAAGGAGCGAAACCGCTAACTGATAGGATGCTTACAACTAGAAGTTCGTCAGTACACTGACAGAACCTAATTTGGTTTCACTGGTCATTCTCCCCCAGGATATAAAAAAGGAACAGACAATAATGTTCATTATATAACCTTTGGCACGAATGACTTTTCCCGCAGAGACCAATCTGATAGTGAAAGTAACTTAGACAGCAGAATAAGCATCAACATTGTACAGGAGTAACGCAGAATATGTAAACAAAATTTTAAAGATTGCATTGTTGGCTAATTATGAAAGAAAAGAAAAAAATAGAAGAACAGCCTATGAGTTCCACAAAGCATTAAGCATCAGAAAGGGCAAAATGTTGAAGTCCTGTGTAATCCAGAAATACAAGCAGTATTGGCACGGATCGTGCATCCTTTATAAGCGAATCAGCATGCACCTGTCAAGGGAACTTAACCAACAAGCCCATAAAACATCAAGGATAATATGCTATACGAAACACATAACGTCATAACAGTGTGTGGTCGTAACTAGGAGAAAATGGTAGTACATTTCGTTTCCAATTTCTGTAACACTACAGAAGGGCCATATGAAGTCTAAAATACGGTTTCGAATAGGAAAAGTAAATGCAGGATACAGAGAGGAGTGCATAATCAAATAAGGAAGGTAAGCGTATAGCAAGCTTTGATGGAAGTGAAGGTGGTAGGTCGTCGTGGTTGCCTGTATTGGCCTTACCTGTCTGTGAGAAAGAAAGCCTCCTCAACACCATCTCCGTGATGTACATCGATGTCGATGTAAAGAACTCGAGCATGATACTTTAAAAGCTCTAGGATTCCAAGCACCAAATCGTTCACATAACAAAATCCAGAAGCTTCGCATTTTTTCGCATGGTGCAAACCGCCGGCCCAATTTATAGCAACATCACAAAGCTTGTTATTGAGCCTGTGAGCAGCATCTGTAGAATGACAAATAAAAAAATTACAAAAATTACCCAAAGAACTTACTGATAGACGGCTCTATGGTAAATAGAGATGTTGCATATGAAAAATATTTTGACAACTGAAAACTGTAACTAAAGCATGAACAAAGGCAGCTCATCCGAGCTTTAGAAGACTAGCACGTCAAGCTGAATGAATATACGACCTGAGACCAGAACTGAGAAGATAGCACAGCCCACCTATGGTGCCTCCAGCATATATTTGACAAAACTCGAACAAGTTGTCGAAGACAGGACAATCCTCCCCCATATTATCTGGATTGAGAGTGAACCAGAAGACTCTTTTAATAACCTTTTTTGACCTGTAGCCTTCTCATAGCGAAAGCTAATGGCCACCTTGTCAGAGTAAAGTTTACCGTCACACTTCTGCACTCCATGTCAAGCCAAATAATAATCTAAAGAAAAGCCGCTTCAGTGTTACTAAGTCATATGATACAGTTAATCTGAATACTCGAAGTGAACTTGAAACCTCAAGGATTAATCACTTATAGAAATAACCTAAGATGGAAAACTTTTACACGCACTTACATCTTAGGAGTTCCTGATGGTATTGCTCTTGCATGTTCGGAGTTATTCTGTGCAAAAACTCAATGTAATCCTCCGAGTGAAATTGTGCCATCTCCACCGGATATGCTTTGTGGGGTCTCTGCATTACAGGCCAAAAGTAAGCTCCTTCCTCTTACCGTTTTAACAACTAAGTGAAGCAATCAGCACGCTGGTTTAAATTCTTTCCAATCAGGGTACCAAAAAACGATGCTCATACGATTCAAAAATCCAAGACACTCCTTACAAACCAATCTTCACAATCTCCAATCTTTAACCCTACGTAGCTAGCTGGAAAGAATTACGGGATTTTCAACTCCTGAGTTGTACCTGTTCCTCTATATTTACCCACTATGACAGACAATAGACGAAACATCCACTCAATACTGCAGCGATCACCACCATTCTTCTGCAATGCACAGGAAATGTATTTTTTCAGAAATTTTGCAGGTCAAAGTTGCTCCGAGTTTTCCTCGCCAGTTCAGTATCTACATAAATCTTCGATTAGGTTGAAAATTGAGTTTATTTTCCTTCTGTACTTGGTGTTTAAAGGGTACACGAAGAGCCAATTTGAGATCGTGTCCACATGTTATCGGGAATCCACCAGATCACTACAACACAAATGGCTGTTTATCTATAAAACTTGTAGCGTAGATAAGTGCAGCAGGACAATCTAGAAAATTGCCGGTCCTACAATGGTTTAGTTGTGAACCGTTTGAATAGGAGTAAGGGCTAATCTAGACATCGATATGGAGGTAAATGATAATACATATATCCGTCAAGACTGACAGAGCGACGGCAATGTGACAATCCCTACAGTATGAATTATAAACCCCAAGAAACTGGTACTTCAAAAAATGTGCCTTTCATGGGATGGAGACCGCGCCCTGGCCGAGCGGTGCTAGTGACTACAGAAGGAACGAGGGGGCGGTATGAAATGAGGTAGAATCGGGAACGAGGCGAAAACAATTCTTCAAAGATGAGTTTCTTTAATCTGAAGAGGCAGTCGACGGCCATTTCTCTTGTTCTGAGATTCTTCTATGTTTCGCCACACAGATCCTAGGATCAACAAGGATATGTTTGAGTCAAGTGCTCACAAGGATATGCACTTTATTAGCTTACAAACCTCAGGACCAGGAATCAGATATATCAAATCATACAACAACTAGGCCACTGGATAGGCAAAGACAGTAAGTTCAGATACTTGGAAGATAGCGCAAAGAGGAAAAGTAGGCAGACAATGACGGAAAATGAAGAAGAGTTGAAAGTTCCGGAACTCATTTCCTCACAAACCACAAAACCAACAATCATACAGACAAAGCTAGTATGTTCAGATACTTAATAGTGTTTGCAAAGAAGGAAGCAAGTAAGAAGGAGCAAAAGTATGAAAGGCCCGCATGACACTGAAGACTGCTATACGTTTCAGTCAGTCAGTCAGCGTTTACCACAAATTTTGAGCAAATTTTAAACGAACACACATCAAAGAGAGAAAAACCAAGATGAACTCGGAACAAGATTACTTTAAATGCACTCATGCAGAAAAAGACTACATAAGGGGGCCAAAGTATGGCGAGGAAGAACCAGGGTTAGAATAGCAACGAATGAAAGTAGGTGAATATACGAAGGCAATCTAAGTACAATGAGTCCATAAAGACTGATGAGGAGACGGATGCACTAGAAAGTAGAATATTTGAACCCGGAAAGATTTGGATAGAAAGATGGGCTGTAATTTTAGCAAAAAAAATTAGAGATATGACAACCTCAATCTTTACAGTTCCAGGAAGTAGCCTGTCCAAGCGACTTATACTCAAGCTACGGGTTCTATCCACATTGCCCATATCGATATACATGTTGCTTCAAACTCTAAACACAGAATTGGACTGTCTAGTGAATCAAAGTTCAATTCCCTTTTCAAGATGACAAGAAACTAAATCTCACTCTACCATCGATCTCCACGAAGGCGAGGGCATGAGTTCATAAAATCAGCACAGGAACTCAGAGGGTTCACAAAAAGCTGAAAACAAGACAAAGACCGAGCAGAACGTGTACGTACATATATCTCCATCTTGTTGTGTAGTCCATATGCGAGCACCAAGCTGTGAGTCATACACAGGCGATGAGGTTTCATTGGATGATTTGGTCCGTAATAGACATTCCCGACATCCCCTGCAAAATTTCCATGAACAGATTACAGTGATCGATGTTAACTCTTACTCGACATATTCTAGATACCTGCCGAATAACATAACCTGTTGACACGGATATCACTGTTCAAATGCAAGACCTTCTTGAATCCATAAATTGCATTTTGAAACGTCGAAGAAATAGCCAGGTAATAAGATACAAACATGAATCTCCATAATGTATCATGTCCTCCCGTTGCACATTTAGTTCTCCACAAATGCACACTTGAATGAAACTAATGATGTCAGATATTTATAAGTACGTAAGGAGTTAAGTTTCTCCTATCTGATGTACCTTAAAAGCTAGTACCAAAGAAGATGGTAAAGGGGTTTGGTGAAAAATATTTCATACCTCTACCCACACAGTATACACGGTAATTTCAAACCATAAGGAGAGTATCTACCTCTGCCGAAATAAATCTTGGAAAGAACAGACCATATATGTCTGACCTGGAGACATCCTAAAACTTTACATGATTTTGTTTATGGAAAAACGATATGGCTCATACATCTACCCAAGGATCGGCAAGTACACTAAACCCATAACATTCAGCATCCGAGTTTAAAAGGCGTGTATATATGTGAGAACTTTATGAATGGTAAGAAACACCTAAAACCAAGAAACGCTCATAAAACTGAAACTTCGTTAAACCATATGAACGCTGGATTCATAAATATCGGACTGAAACCACGTTAGGGACAAGTTTCGCCTATTTGGGCGATGTGACTGTCTCAAAAGTTATTTCTTTGGAACTTACGCTAACCATCCACTTCAGATATTCGAAGGATCCTCAGCTCACCACTAGCAGTTGGAACTAAAGCTGTAGTTAAGAAAACAGACCCGGAGCGTGACGCATATAATGCTTCTTCAAGCAAGCACTGTGTTGTGCATAGTTCTATGAACCCAAGTTTTATGAGTTCTGAATGGCACAGAAAACAAAATATTTATGGCTCCCGATAATGCATCTAAGCTCACAATACAAGACAAGGAATCCACCATGACAGTTCAAGGTAAACCAAATCATTCAATCTTTCTTTGGGATAAACCATGGCAAGGTTCTTTCCATGTGCAGTACCTCTTATAGCTCCTACATACAGAACTCTCAGCTTCATACTGATAATTAAGGCCACTGAGTGCACACACAGTCTCGACAGTCCATCATTTCTGTCGTGGTTGACTTGCAGTCATTCATCGTACGCATAAAAAGTAATGTACAAATTCGAAGCAGTGAGCTGATTCTGATGGATTCAAATAAAAGTTCTTGTGCCAACCATACTGAATTCGTGTCTGATTCTACATCTTGTGATTACATGCGAAGTGTCAACGACAACAAGTAAATCTTTCCAAGACAGTAAGCTACATTTTCACAACCGACAACGGAGGAGAAAATTTATAAAATGATTGTGACCACATACAGAAAATTAGGGTACTTAGAAACTAAACTTCAAATCGCACTTGGGCCATGGCCGAAGTGCGATTTAGAGTGCAATCACTTTGGGCAGGTCGTTTCATTCACTGAAGTACATTTCATAAACTCTTCGTAAAGAATTGAATTAAACACGAGTTCCACAGAGTCACACGATTATTAAAATAACGGAACATGAATTCAAAACGCAGAAAACCGAAGATACATTCAGGCTAACAGAATTCGCGAATCCTTCTAAGCAACAACTTAATCCATACCATCATAAAAATACGAGACACGATCTTTCGACGGCATTGTGACGGGGAAGTCCAGGCGCTCGTCTTGCTGTAATCGGTGCAAGCTGAGATCGACGTCTAGTGCTCCAGGCTCGAGCACCTTGAGCAGCGGCCTGTCCTGCTGCGCTCTGCACGCTTGGCCTCACGGCTCATCTCTCCCACTGCAGAATCTCGAATCACTCCGTCACCGCAGTGTTCGCAATACAGCTCACCTACTGCGCTCGAGTGAGCCCGTGCTTTGTACTTAAGTGTGTACTACGTAAACGGGTCTCGGTGGATTGACCGGGTTATTGACAAATAGTAGTACGTTGCACGAGAAGCAGGTCAAATTTTGTAACGTACTTTTTATCTCCACCAACGTCAGGTTGCCGCTAACTTTGGTCAACTCTGGTCAACTGTTTCAAAATAGAAACAATTGCTGGCATTAAATGAACAACATTTCACGAGCTGACCAAATCCAGCAGTACCTATGATTACGATGGACCCTAATGATAAAAAAAATTGGCTTTTTTCGAAAAATAAAACTTTGTTAATTTTTGGTTAAAAGACATGTAGGAAATTAAGATATATATATAAATATAATAATTGAAGATGAATGATATTTTTATATTAATATTGCGTATTATATTAGGATTAGAAGAAGATAAGACACAAAAATATGTTAGAATATTTAAAAACTAAATTCTAAACATAACCATAATATAGTCTTATTTTGAATTAAAAATATATCTTTCTACTTATTATAATAACCTTACATTAAATTAATTTTTCAAAAAACAATGCAATATATAAAAATACGAATAACATTCATTAACACAAATTTGGCTATCGTAAATTATATTATTTATTGTCTAATATATTTATCTTATGTCAATTGAATATAAGATCCTAATGAATGTAAAAAATAAAATTCAAGAAATACTTGGATTTAAAAAATATGTTTTTTAAGCTGCAATAACGATATTAAAATTATATTATAAAATTTTCAAACCAGGTATGGAAAGAAAGTTAAAAAAATCAAACAATTCAGATCAACATCTTATAATTTACTAATGTTAAACTTTGAGCTCATTAAAAAATATTTATTATCATAAAAATAATTAAAATAAAATTATTTCATTTTTCAATCAGTATAGAATTTGGAAAAAAATTCAGAAGGCGGAAAAAATTTAAAAATTATATATACACATATTAATGAATTAAAAATTAATATTTAAAGTCAAAATTTTTAAATATGTAAACTGATACTTATAATTTATTTCAATGAAGAGTAATATATAGCAAACATGTCATTAATTATATAAATGTTCATTTGTTTTACATTGATTTGACAAGATGTACTTGAAATTTTTTAAAATTTAAAAAAATTCAAATCAATTTTGATTATTTGATCAGTGTAAGATTTAAACAAGAAAATTTAACATTTATAATTTTTTGATTCAATACATTTTTTTGTCAACAAAAATTTAAAAATTAATAGTAAATTTTGATGTAATTGGAGATCTATCATTTGATTATAATAGACAAAATTTTCCATTCATAGCATAAAAAAAATTGCTATTGCTTTTCAAAAACTAAAATTGAACTAACTCACAAGTTAAATTTAGTGCATTGCATTTGATTTGTTAAGTTGAGATAGCTCTTTGGACTTATAAATTAATTCTTTAGTCTATTAAATGCATACTCCGTATCATTGTTGACATGACTTTCATGGAGTGTTTAGAATCCAACAAATTAGAAATGTCGAATCTTGTCAAGTTTTCAAATTATACAAAAATATTGATGTCTAAAAGTTGCACATAGAAAAAAACATGTTATTATTATTTTTTATCATCTTTGTCATATATGCCATTTCAAATTTAGTTCAGACTTTAAATTTTTAGCAATCTTTCACTTATAATTATTTGTATTTAAATATGGGTTAAATTAAATTAATATCATCTTTGCTTATTCAATGTATTTGTACAAAAATCTCAATATAACATGAGATTCACATGTATGCTAACAACATAAAGAAAGAAAATTCTTACTCATTTTTTACTTGTGTTTATTCTCATTGGATCATATATAACACAAAATTTGTGTCTAACATAATCTGATGTTTCTTCAATCTTAGAGTATAACTGAATTCTTACTTGCATGCTCATGTGATTTGAGAAAGATAATAGCATAATATCTGATCATTTTTCATACATAACGTATCTAAAATAAATGATAGTTGAATACTTCGTCCAAATTTCAAAAATTTCAACCATTTGGATCTTTTGCATGCATGTATGTATATATATATATATATATATACATATTGATGGTTGATAGGGGTAAACAAAATTTTTGATCAGATAGATTGTATATATTTATTTATTATCAATCAGAATATAAGATGTGTAATATAATGTCATTTCTTCATCACTATTATATTGTAGCATTAAAACATTACTTTTTTTCACTATATACAAGTATGTTCTTGAGTATGTTCTAGAAAAATTATACAAAATTGTCAAAACAATACAATAGAATCAATGAGCGGATGTCAAACTCTTCATTAACCAGATCAACCATTTGCTTGTCTACATTCATAATGACATTGATGATCAAACTTTTGGTCAATCTCCACATCCACAAGCTAAAGATTTACAAATTTAGAAGTATTAAAGTGTTGATGAGATGGTATACCAATATTTTTTAGTTGTGTTCTTAATACTATTGATACTTCAGCTCATACATAATGACATTGGTGATAACAATATCAAATCTTAAAAACTTTTGATCAATCTCCACATCCACAAGCTAAAGATTTGCAAATTTAGAAGTGTTGATGAGATACCAATATTTTGTAGGTATGTTCTTAAAACTATTGATCCTTGAGCTCATTTTCAACTCCACATCTTACACAAGAACAAGTGATATATGATTAAAGTATTATGTTATGTTGGAGCAAACTCTCTTTGAGAAAAAGCTTTGTTGATCAACTTGTGATGATTATCAAGGTCCTTGAAACATCCACTCATGAGAAGGGGTGTATGATTCTTAATTATAAGGGTGACAATCAAGAGTATGTTGAAGTACAAGGGGTGTAATAATCAATAACTATAAATCATGCAACTTCTTAATCATCCTAACTTTGTGGCATTAAATCATTGTCTTTTTTTCACTACATACAAGGATAAACTATATTTCAATGTTGTGCTAGAGTATGTTTAAGAGATTGTATACATTATTGTCTAAGATTAAAATTAGATCAATCAATGTATGCCTTTGATTAATATCAAACTCTACACTTATCAAATTTGCCGCTTGCTTGACTACATCCTTGATGGCATTGGTGTATGCCATCACCATATGAAACATCTAAACATCTATTGATCATACTCCATATTGCTAGCTAAGGCTATAGTACTTTGGAAGTGCGTAAGTTTAGCTCAAAGAAAAATCCAATGTTTAGTATATATATGGTTGATATTATAGATCCATGAGCTCATTCTCAACGCCTCAAAGTACACAATAGCCGGTAAGATATGGTCAATGATTTGTGTTAGGGTGGCCAAACTCTTTTAAAAGTAAAAAGTGATGTTGATCAACTTGTGGAGATTATCAAGATTCTTGAAATTACCATTGCCGATAACACATGGTCAATGTGTTGTGTTATGATGGAGCAGTCTCTTTCAAAAGTAAAAAACCATGTCGATCAACTTTTGGAGATTATCAAGATTCTTGGAATAAGATGTTGCAATATAAATGATACAAGAATCAAGATTTACACATAATGCGCAATCTAACAACTATAATATCTCAATTTTTTTCTCAAGTGTTTTCTAAATACAGTCTGTAGTATTGCCAATCATTACAATCACACAATTAAGCGGATGACTTTGGTTTATTTCAAACTCTACACTTATCAAATTTGTTGATTGTTTGTCTACATCCACAGCAGTGCTATTGGTGTATTTCAGTGTGATATCAAATCTGAACATCTTTTGGTCAATCCCCACACCCACCAACTAAAACTATATGACCTTGAAGATGGTGGGGTGTTGATAAAAATGAAATCAATTATTTTGTATCAAATAGGGTAAATCAGTCATATCTTGTTGTGTAACAGCAAGTGTATTTTGCAAGGGTACCATCAAATAATTTTCTATGGTCACATCATATAGAGATAAACACTTGGATAGATATAAAGGATAAATTTTTTGAGACACCCGAAGGTAACGCTACACTATATTATGACCACAAATTTGAAGAGAAAAGCTGAATAGTGCAGCCGCAGATTCTATTCTTTGTCTTTGGGACGAGACTTCAGCTGGCCAATAGAATTAATTTAAATTAACAAAAAGTGTCTTCTGACTCAATGAGGTCCTCACATGCGAAGTTGCACATTAAATTTTCGATAAAATGGAATGAGAATTCGATAGAACTGACCAAAGAATTTTTATAAACATCAATATTCTTCAGATCCAATGAGGTCCTTCACATGCAAAAGCTTGCCATACATCCATCCATCACAGCCAGAACCTATCGCACATTAAATTTTGGATTCGTCAAATGATGCAAAAAAAGAACTGGCCATCATAGGCTGTGTACAGTTTTATTGAAACTGAATCTTTTGAGTCCAATGTCGGACTCGGACAGAAAACTTGCACTCTAAACAGCTTGTTCAAGCTGCGAAGAATTATTTACATGCACGCCTTCCTAGCTTCAATCAGAAGGTGCAGCTTCTGATTCGCAACCTCACCATGGGTTCACTGTGCGGCAGTTTCGGCGAATCTGGCCTTCGGCTCTCACTCCTACGGCGCCCATCGCGCGCATGGCTTCGCCGAATTGACGGTCGAACACACGCTCGCTCATCAGTTTTTTGACCAGCTTTCTGGTGCGCCTATCGTCGAACAGAGACTGATCGGACGTGAACAATCCTTTGTGCTCTGAGAGTCCCTTGTAGTAGTTGGCATCGAACTCACCGGGCGTGATGGTGTCCATGAAGATCTCGAGAGTGGTGTTGAATGTGGCCTGCGGGCAGTCTGTCTTCAACTGCTCCGCGTAAGAAGCATTAATCGAAGGATCGGTGAAATGGGTTTCGCTGAAGTTGTAGAGGCGCTCGAAGAATTTGTCGCAGTGGCCGACTCCTACTGTGTGGGATCCTGTAGAAAGCTCGAACATTGCCATGAAGAAGATTCCCGTAGTGAGATCAGTAGGATTCGACATCGTTGATTGAGCATTGAAATGCAAGTCTGAAAT